AGGGAGAAGCAGACTCCCCGTGGAGCTGGGAGCCCGATGCGGGACTCGATCCTGGGACTCCAGGATCATGACCTGAGCTGAAGGCAGTCGCTTAACCAGCTGAGCCACCCAGGCGCCCTCCCGTGTTCTGTTTGCGAAGGAAGCGGTTTCGTCTTAATTTATATCTAGCTTCCATCTGAGTGAGCAGCATGAACTTGTTTTCTTATCAGAGGCCAGAGGATGAAGTGAGTCTCCCAGGGCTTCCTTCGAGCTGCAGGCAGGGCTGGCTCCTTCTGGAGGCTCCGGGGAGAACCCGTGTCCTTGTCGCCAGCTACTAGGGCCCGCCCACACCTGGCCCCTGGTTGGATCTCGCAGGTCCCCCTCCCAGTGGCTCTCACCCCGTGTCCCTCTGACCCTGGCCTCCTTCATGCAGCAGAGTGCCCCTGGGTGGGGTCAGGCCCGTCCTGGGGCTTCTGACCACGTGAGGGAGCGCTCTCACCGCTTTTGGATCAGAGCGTGGACACGTCTTGGGCTGTCCTCCTGGCCACAGAGGCTGGAGCTTTTGAGTATGTTTCTGGAAGCTTCTAAGAGTGCAGGTGCAAATAATTTGCCTTTCTCATTTCTATTCATTTCAGTACTTTTGTTTCTTTCTGTTGTCTACAGGCGTGGGCTAGATGCAGGGGTGTCCTGCCTGCCTCAGGAGCTCCCGTGTCTCCCAGCCCCACGCTGTTGCGCAGTGGGCGGGGACGCAGGCCTTTCCTTGTTGTTCCTTTGTGGCATTAGTGGGTGTTAGAATGGATGTCAATTTAAAAATTCTTTTCTGTTTTTTTTTTTTTTTTTTTTTTTTTAGCTTTTTCTCTTTTTTTAAAAGACTTTGTCAGAGAGAACGAGCAGGAGCAGGGGGAGCGGCAGGCAGAGGGAGAAGCAGGCTTCCCTCCAAGCAGGGAGCCTGACATGGGACTCCATCCCAGGACCCCGGGACCACGACCTGAGCCGAAGGCAGACGCCCAACCGACTGAGCCACCCAGGCATCCCTGTTTTTTAGCTTTTTATTGTGAGAATTTTTGATGAACTCACAGAGCACTGTACAGTGGAGCTCAGTGCCTGCCGCCTGCCTGCATGGGGGCCGTGGAGATGGTCTGGACGTGCACCCAGACTCAGCGTCGTAGCAGCTGTGAGGGACCTAGCAGGTGTCTCTACAGAAGACGGGTGCTGTCAGAAACCGTGATGCAGCCGTGGTCATACGTGGGGCCAGGTCCTGGCGCTGCTCGTGATTGCCCAGCTGCCCCGTGATGTTCTTCTGTGGGTAGTTTGCTCGAGTCGGGAAGTGTATCACTTCCAACTCTCATGTTTCCTTGTTACCTCTAGGGTTTCCCACCATCTGTAGGCTTCTGTGGGATTTGTTGGGACTTGGTGGGCAGTGTCCCCTGTTGTCGTGACTGTGGACCTGCCTGGGTGTCCTGTCTGCTCAGATGTGGGACAGGAGCTCACCCCGGCTGTGTCCGGCAGCACCGGGTCCACTCACGCTTTGGTGCCGCTGGCGTCGCCCCGTCAGCCCTGAGGGCCCTGGCGGCGTTTCCCGAGGAGCTGGTACAGCACTTGTGTCTGTGTGCGCGTCCCCCTGTGGCCTGCCCTCCAGCTGGGGCTCTGACCCGGTCGGCTGTGCATGTAGGCGTTCTTGTCTCTGCTTATCAGTGAGACTCCCTGGTAGTCGCATCCGCTGTTTCTTTTAAGTTTTGGAGTTGGTGGCTTCGAAGCATGAAGTCACTTTCCGTTGTCGTTTTTCTCTCAGAACCGGGCCGCCAGCCGTCAGGTTGAGCTCGTGGGCTGGGCGGTGGCGCTTGGCCAAGGGTCACAGCCACTGGTGATGGGCTCTCCTGCCCTGCCCAGCCCGGTCCTCACACTGTAGCCTGCTTCACCACCTAGGCCGGGGCCCCTGTCCGCCCCCTGCCCCGTCCACCTGGCCTGTGCGGGTCCCGGTTCTGGCTGGCAGGCACACCAGGCCTGCGGCCCCAGGCCCTGCACCACTCCAGGGGCAGGGCTGACAGGGCGGGCGGGGCTGACCCGGGCTGTGCTTGCAGTGGAGACCTTCGGTGACCTGGCCTTTGGTGACATCTTCCTGCACCTGCTCACGGGGAACCTGGCGCTACTGGCGGACGAGTTCGCCCTGGAGGACTTCTGCAGGAGCCTCTTTGACGGCTTCCTCCTCACAGCCTCGCCCAGGTGCTGCCGCCCGCCCCTGTCCCAAGTGCCCCTGCCTGGGGTGGTGGGGGAGGGGCATGTGGCCCAGCTGGGGGGGAGGTCTGCGGTGGGCTCTGGGTCACCGCAGCGTGGCCCCTCCCGCAGGAAGGAGAGCGTGCAGCGGCACGTGCTGCGGCTCCTCCTCCACCTGCACCACCGGGTGGCGCCGTCCACGCTGGAGGCCTTGCGCAAGGCACTGGAGCCCACAGGCCAGGTGCGTGCCCCGGCCCTCTCCTTGCGTGCATGTCCCCCCCCCCCGCGTGGAGGTGTCCCGAGTGCCCCCGGGGCCTGCCCCACAGCCACACGCTTCCCCCCACAGAGCGGAGAGGCGGTGAAGGAGCTTTACTCTCAGCTGGGGGAGAGGCTGGAGCAGCTGGAGCACCGGAAGCCCAGCCCGGCCCAGGCCACGGAGACGCAGGCGCTGGAGCTGCCCCTTCCGGCTGTGTCCGCTCCCGCTGGGCTGGGAGGCTTCCCGGGGGCCGCTCAGGACCGGGCCGGGCCCCTGGTGGGTCTGTGACGTTGGCTGGCCAGTAGGCGTTCCCCTGGACTTGGAGTGTTGGCGACCCCGTCTCTCCTGAAGGCAGATGGGCTGCTCGTGGGCCGGGCTGGCTGGAGCCGAGCGCTCTCTGCCCTTGGACGGCCTGTGGGGGGCAGCCTGCTGCTGGGCCTCAGCCCCACCCTGACCTGGATCCTGGGACCTGTGTTTGCTCCTTGGAGGCCCTTGGCTGCTTCCCTGGAGGACAGCGCTGGGTGTGATGGGCCCAGCTGGCCCCTCGAAGTCACTCCCAGGCTGTGGGGAGCTTCTGGCGCGTTCCTGCCTCATGGTGTGAGTTTCCGCTTCTGTAGGGAAGACAGACTGGCTGTAGTTGGGATTAGGAAAAAGCTACCTTTTTCCCACGGGAGAGGGCAGGGGGACCCAAGCCTGAGGGAAGGGGCGGGCGCAGCCCCGTGGGCCCAGATCAGCCAGTGCTTTGCTGGGTGCGGGCATCTGCGGATGGAACCGGCTGCTCTGGGAGCACCCGAGTGTTTCACGGGACGGTCTCGCCCGTCCACGGCCCCACAGGCAGGGAAGCGGCCAGCAGTACCCTGTGTCGCTGAGGAATGGCTGCCTCGTTTACCTCTGGAGTGGTGTGCCCCTTGCTCAGCTGCACCGTCTTGGTCATGTACAAGCTGCTGCGCACAGCCAGCCCTCACGTGTGTAAATAAAAGGCGTTTGGGTAAACCCAGTGGTTGAGCTGTTGGTGGGCACGCCCGAGCGTTGGATGTGGGGCAGGTGGGTGGGCAACTTAAGGGCATCTCTGCCTCTGTAGGCCACGGTCTGGATGCCCCTGCCTGTCCGTGGGAGGAGGGACATCCTTAGGGAGTGTGGGTGGAGGTGGTGGGGATGGTCCTCTTCCATTTGCTTCCATTTTCCCTAGAAAGCAGAGAGCCAGGCAGGACCTCACCCCACCACGCTCGTGCTAGGATCATGGGACATGGGCAGGGCCTGGATAATGTCCTTCATCCCTGGTCCCAGGAAGCCTGACAGCACCGCCACCTATGTGGTGGGTTGGGTGCCCAAGGCCCCAAGCACCCGCCACTGTGCAGAAGAGGGGCGGCAGTCCTGGGGAGCCAGGCCCCACAGCTGGAGAGGAGGATGTGGAGAAGTTGTGCTTCCTCTGTGTGGTGACCCTGCCCGAGGGCACTGAACCGATGGGCAAACAGGAACTCCCATATTTCGGACAGAATGAGAGCTCCCAAGCCCAAGAGCCACGTTTCCCGGATGCTGGTCGTGCCTGGGGAGGCGGGGGAGACAGGGGCAGTGTGCTGGGCAGGGAGCCCGTGTGGACAAAGGGAGGCTGAGGACGGATGGGGGGCTATGAGCACGAGATTGGGGGCCACAGCAGGAGAGCCAAGGGACGTTGGACTGCCGGTGTCAGAGGGACACAGGGCCAGACTAGCCTGGGCTCACTCCCGGTTGATGAACTCACTCTTCGGGAGGGCGGCAGACAAGCGAGGGCCAAGGCGCGGTGCCTCCCTTGGTCGGAATGGGAAGAGCAGAGGGTCACTCAGGCCCATCTGTGCAGGGATGGGAGTAAGGTTGGGCAGGGACACGGGAACCCCCACCCGCCTTAGTTTTTTCTAAATTTGCTCCCTGACCAGGACGCTGACCTATGCCTGCGGGTCTTCCCCCAGCTCTAGAATTTCTGTCCCAGTGTGCTCAACTGTCCTTGGGGTGGGAGGGCTCTGAGGGGGTGGGTAGAAGGGAAAGGGGGATGGAGGGAAGGGAGGCCCCGGAAGAGGAGGAGGGCTGGGAGGAGAAGGAGGAGAAGGAAAGGAGCTCTACTCTGGGAGCCCCTAGGTTGGGGCCAGGGGAGGGGAAGAATGAAGGACTGGGGAGACCTCACTAGGCACATGGTCCCCTCTGCTCTTGCCCTGCTGCCCTCCCTGTGCGGGGTCAGGCGCAGGAGATGTCCCTGGGGAAGTAAGAGTTCTATGGAGGACAGGCTGACATGCAAGGGGCTGTGGGATCCCAGGGGAGGGGATGCTCCCCCAGCCTTACCGGGAGACAAGGACGAGCCAGGAGGGCTTCAGGGCCCAGGAGGTCAGGTGACCTGAGGGCCGAAGGACCTGAGCCAGCCAGCCAGACCTCCCCCTCTGGCGCCTCCCTCCAGCCGAAGTCCCGCCCTTCTGCCACACCCCTGACTCACTTCCTTTGCCTACAAGCGGAAACCTCCCAGCGCTTCCTCCACTCAGGCTCCCCAGGGACTCGCAGGTGTTGCTCCCCCTCCAGGCCCTGACCCCTCTGGGACCGTCCCCAGGACCCTGGTGTTTTCTGTGTCCTCAGTTGCGGCCCCAGCATCTGGCCTGGGCAGGGGGCTGCCCTTGGTGGGCTGGGGGGCCAGCAGGAGCTTAACCTGACAGCTGCAGGTATGGGGCGGGTGGGGGGCCAGGGACAACTTCCTGGCTTTCTTCAGCTCTCGTCTCCCCGGTGGCTCTTGCTCTCCTTCTCTGGCTCTTTTTGTCCATCTTTCCACCCCACCCCACCCCGCTAGTCTCTGGGGGGCTCCCTGCTGGCCATTCCATCGGTGTGTTCCCTGGAGGGATGTTGGGAGGTTCCCAGTTTGGGGGAATGAGGCCTGGGCCCATTCTCAACAGAAGTTCTGGCCACATACCCCCTCCCGCTTCAAGCGTTTTTTAGTGTAGGGGGGAGGTCTCCGGACTCTAGGGGCGCTTGGGCCTCTGCTTCTCTTGGTTCCCACTTGGGATTCGGAGGGCCCCTGGAGCCTGGCGGTCGGACCCGTGGGCGGGCAGCGGGATCGCGCCTTGACCCTTCTTCACCCTAATCGGCGCCTAGTTGGCACCGACTTCTCCAGGAAGCCGGCTGGCTTCCCGATAAGCGGCGCCCTCCCCCCTCCGCCACTTCCTCAAGGCCGGCGGCTGTTTATGGGAGATTTGCATTGGGGCCCTGCGGGGAGCCGCTTCCTGGTCAGCGGGCCGAGACCCAGGCTCTGCGAGGCCGGCACCGGGACCAACCCCCACCCCCTTACCCCCGACCCCGCCGCGCTCCCTGGGGACCTCCCAGAGGGGTGAGGTCATTCTGGGGAAGGGTCCCAGTTGGCCGGGCGGAAGTCTGGAGACCCTCTCCATCTTCCTGTTGCAGGGAGGGCGACCTGCATGCCGAGCGCCGCCTCTGCGCCATGGACGGCGGCCAGGCCAGTCTGGAGCCCGCGGCCGCGGGCCCCAGCATCCCCGGCCCGAGCGTGATCGCGCCGCTGCGCGCCGTGGTCCGCCTGCGTCGCCGCGTGTGCCTCCTGCGCAAGCGGCGCCTCCTGCCGCCAGGCGCGGGGCCGGCCTCCGGGGCTGGAGCGTCCAGAGCCGGCTGCAGCTCGGGGGCGCCGCGCGCCGACTGGGACCCGCCGCAGTTCTTCACCTTCGACGGCCCGGCGGAGCTGCCCTCCAGGACGCCGCGCAAGAGGCGCCGGCGCAGCCGCGTGGTGCTCTACCCGGAGCCCTCGCGCAAGTGCCGGCCTCACGCCGAGCGCCGGAGCCGCGCGCAGCGCTGCCTGGTGTTACTGGTGGCCGTCGTGGGCTTCCAGGTGCTCAACGCCATCGAGAACCTGGATGATAACGCGCAGCGCTACGACCTCGACGGGCTGGAGAAGGCGCTGCAGCGCGCCGTGTTCGGGCAGCCGGCCGCCGTGGGGCGCATCGTGGCGCTGCTGCGGGACTACCTGGCCACGCACGTACACAGCCGCCCGCTGCTTCTGGCGCTGCACGGGCCCAGCGGCGTGGGCAAGAGCCACGTGGGCCGCCTGCTGGCGCGCCACTTCCGCGCGGTCCTCGAGGACGACGCGCTGGTGCTGCAGTACCACGCGCGGCACCACTGCCCCGAGCCGCGGGCGGCGCAGGCCTGCCGCGAGCAGCTGGCCGGGCTGGTGGCCGACGTGGTGGCGCGGGCCGAGGTGGAGGAGAAGACCCCGCTCGTGGTGCTGGACGAGGCCGAGCTGATGCCGCGGGCGCTGCTGGACGAGCTGCGGAGCCTCCTGCAGCCGCAGCGGGCCCACCACTTCCACAACGCGGTTTACGTGCTCCTCAGCAGCGCGGGCGGCGCGGACATCACGCGCTTCGTGCTGCGCAACGCGTCCAGCGCGCGGCCCCGGCGCCCCGACGGGGATCCGGACGGGGCGGCCGCGCTGCGCGCCGAGGAGGAGCTGCGCGCCGGCCTTCGGGCGCTCCTGGTCCGCGAGCACCCGCTGTGGCAGGACGCGGCCATCGTGCCCTTCCTGCTGCTGGACAAGCAGGACGTGGTCAGCTGCTTCCGCGAGGAGATGGCCGCGGAGGGCTTCTTTCCGGAGCAGGCCCGCGCCGAGCTACTGGCGGCGCAGCTCAGCTACTACCGCGTCGCTGGCCGTGAGTTCGCCGTCACCGGCTGCAAGCAGGTGGTGGCCAAGGTCAATCTCTTGTAGCACAGCCTTAGCGGAACACGGCGGTCGCCAGTGGGCCGGCGGGACTCTTGGGTTGGGGGTGGCAGTAGGATGGAGGGGACCCTGTGGATTTGCCTGAGGCCTATAATAAATCTGTCTCCAGCCCCACTGGCCTCCCCCAGCCGTTTTCACCCTGGGACCTAGGGAGGCTGGCGGGGCTGGGTCAGTTCTGTGCCGGCCACTTCCAATAACAGTTCCCCCTGAGCCCCCAATCTGCCACCTCCTGGTTCTTAATTCAGCCCACATTTCTGAGCACCTGCCCTGTGCCCCTCGTAGCAGGCATCCCGGCAGGTCGGCATTCCCATCTCCTTGCTCCAGAGGAGGGATGGCCTCGGAGAAAGTGCGTGGCTCCCAGGGAGGGTCACGCGGCTGGTCCCCTGCAGCTGGACGTGACTTCAGCTCTGTGGGAGGCCTGCAGCAACCGTCACGCACACTTGTACACACTCCCATCCAACCCTTGCACACCTGCTCACCCCATGGGCCCTGAAGTCCTGGATGCTCCTCCTGCCAGGAGAATCACGATGCCTCCCTGGATTTGTCCTGGACTCCAGGGCCCAGGAGCTGCTGGGAAGATGGGATGTGTGGGAGTCTCCACGCATGAGCTCACCCAGTGGAATCCGCCGGAGGCTCTGGACGGCGGGGAGAACTCTCTCAGGGTGACAGGGGCGCTGAGTTCTCGGCCCCCCTGCCCTGGTCACCACCTTGCTCCAGGACGCTGAGCTGGGACGGGCCTTAGGGTAGAGATGGCGTAGGCCCACCTCAGAGGGTTTCAGGTTTTCAGGCGCTGCGGGCGCCTTTTGCGCCTTTCCCCCGAGGGCGGTGGTCTCGTCCAAGCGGCCCCCACCGGCTCTCGCAGCCCCAGCCCTGGGGTGGCCTCAGTGCTGCCGCCTGGTGGCCGCGCGGGGCCGCGGGGTCTGGGGGCGGGGGAGCGGGGACACGTACAGCGAATGCCGGCGGGGACCTGGGGAGCAGAGGCGAAGCTCCAGCTGGCGGGGCGCAGGGCTGTGCGCGCCACCCCCCCGCGTCGGAGCTCAGCACACCCCCGGGGCCCCGCAGACCCGGGCACCAGCACAGGCCGCTCCGGAGGCTCCCGCCGTAGGGAGAAGCCCCCGCCCAGTCCCAGGTCGGCGGTTCTCTCCCGGGGCGGTCATCTGTGGCCCAGGGCGGAGGTCTGCCCGTAGGACAGGGAAGCTGCTGGGCGGGACCAGCGGCGGGACCCAGGTGGCAAGGGCGGAAGGTTCTGGGCTGGTCCAGAGAAGTTTTGCGAACTCCTGGGGCCGGGCATGGGTGCAGGGGGAGGGGAGGTGCAGGCGACATTTGGAAGCTTTGTCCCCCCCCTGGGTGGGGGGAGGCGTGGCCAGGTCTGTCCACCCGACAGCACTTGCTGGGCAGCTGGGGAAAGGAGCCGGTGTCCGTTCCAAGGCTCCTGGCCCGGCCCCTGCATCCGGGGGAGGGAGACAGGCGCATCGTCCTCCCGGCTTACACTTCTCGTGGGACTTTGTCTTTGCCTTTTATGCTTTTTTATATCTTGCTGTATTTTTAGTTTTTGGTAGTGGTTCCCCTCAGGGTCCCATCTGTCTCCTTAATCGGCTGGCAGGTGTACCCCGGAACGAGGACTTACACCCCCACTTGGGCAGCGAACCCCCAGGCGCTGGAGTGAGGGCTGGTCCACCCTCTCCGCCCTCAGAGCCGCCTCACCGAGTGCTTCAACTCTGTCCTTTCATCCAACGCCCCTTATCAGACATTATATTTAATTTTTATTGATTTTTAAATTTTATTTTATTGATGTATTTATAAACTAGTTTCTTCTTTTTCTGGGGCTCTGTAATTCCCATTCTGCTAGAAACCAGGTTCTCAGGTTCTCTCTGTGCCGGTGGGACTGTTTCCCAGCCGTAAGTCAGTTCATGTTCCCTGGGCTGGGACAGCTGGTAGGACACGATGCTTGAAGACTTACTTGGCTCTTTTTGGGCTTTTTCCCTTAGAACTTGATTTTGTTAAAAAAAAAAAAATTATATATATATATATATATATATATATATGTGTGTGTGTGTGTGTGTGTGTGTGTATATATACATATATATATATAATTTTTTTTTTTTAAAGTAGGCTTCCTACCCAACTCGGGGCTTGAACTCAGGATCCTGAGATCCAGACCGGAACTGAGATCAGGAGTCTGAGTCACCCAGGTGCCCATGATTTTGTCAAATTCTTTGGAAAACCTTTTCGGGTTTTCACGGGAATCGCGCTCATCTGCAGGTCAGTGTGGGGAGTGTGATGCTGTCACCCCGCCAAGTGGCTGACAGGCCTGATTCGTGTATTTGAACTCACGTGTGTGACGTTCCGCCAACAGATCTAGCTCACATTTCTGCATTTATTCCTAAAAACCATAGGTTTGGCTGGTATCATAAAGGGTTAATTTTCAGAAAGCGAGCACCCAGCCCACCCAGGAAGCAGGGCACGTCCAGATGACTGTCCACCGATCGCTGCCCGCCTCCTACATCCCTGAACCACCTGACTTCACAACCGCCACGTGTCTGGGTTAGTTTTCATGCTGTAGCTTTCCTGTTTGCTTAATTAAAAAACAAACAGAAACAGAACAGCTTGATAGAAGTAGCGTTCATATGACACAAAATTGACCCATTCAAGTGGGTGATTTAATGATTTTTAGTAAATTTGCAGAGTTGTGCAGATAATGCCACAAGTTAGGCTTAGGGTCTTTCCGCGACCCCAGAGAGCCCCCTCCAGCTTATTCTCTGTGAACACCGTTTCCGCCCCTTCCTCAGACAAACGCTCATTCTGTCTCCTGAGGTTCGCCTTTTCTAAAAGGCGTTTCCTATATGTGGACTGTGTTTAGCTTTTGGTGTCTGGCTTCTTTTCCTTAGCTTATGGCTTTTGAAGTTCACGCAAGCCATAGGGCTTGGCTTCCCGGGTGCTCTCCTTTCTGCCGCTGGCCAGTGTGCCGTCGTGTGCACCAGACACCTGCCGTGCGCCCTTGCACTGCTTGCACTTGTTGGCTATTATGCATAAATCGTGCAAGGAACATTTGCCCCAATTTTCTTTGTACATTCGTCTTCCTTTATCGTGAATAAATACCAAAGAGTAGAGTTGCTGAGTCACATGAACATTTTGTGCGATTTCTTAAAGAAACGGCCAAGCTGCTTTCCAATGTGATTGTGCCATTTTGCACTCCAGCAACAGTGTGTGGGGATGATGGCTTCTCCACATGCTCTCCAACACTTGTTACTGATGGTCTCTTACGTGACAGCCACGGGTGTCATATTGGTTTAACATTGGTTTGACGTGGGTGGTTTCGGTCTGTGTTTTCCTAGTAACTGACTGTCTTGAGCAAGCCCATGTGCTGCTCAGACATTCACGTTCTTTGGTGGCTTCGCTGATTGTTGACTGGTAAGAGGTCGCTGTATATCCCGGCCGGCTGTGTTTGACCAGATGTATGTTGCATATGTTTTCTTCCAGTCTATAGGTTGTTCTTAATTTTCATAATTAAAAATGTGTTTTGAAGTGCAAAAGTGTTTAATTTTAATGAAGTCAAATGTACCCATTTTTTTTCTTTCATGGATCACGACTTGGATGTTTCTAAGAACTCCTTGGTTACTCCCAGACCATAAAGACTTTTCCCTGTGCTTTATTCTAAATGGTTTTAAGGTTTTAACTCTTACGTGTAGGTCTATGAACCATTTGGAACCAATTTTTATGCATGGTGTGACATGAAGGTCGAAATCAATCTTACTCTGTGTCGGTGAAAGGTCTGTCCTGTCTCCATTAAATTGCCTTGATGCCGGCTGCAGCGAGGGCCCACCAGAGCAGAGCGCCCACGGGAGGCCCCCACACGGGAGGGCAAGCCGTGGGGAAGGGCCGACCGGGGCTCAGGCCTGAGCCGGTGGAGGTGGAGTCGCAGTTGCGCTCGTAAGTCTTTTCCACATTTTGGATCAGGCCCACCCAGGTCAGGCCAGATCGTGTCCTTTCTGTATAGTCAGTTGATTACGAGCTTGACTCTCCTCCACAGAACGCCTTCCCAGCAATGCCCAGGTTAGGTCTCCGTTGCGGGAGTAACCGAGCCGCCGCGGACGACTGCACCGGACCGCCTTTGTCAGCGTTCAGCCGGCATGAAGACGAGGGTTTGTTTCTGGACTCTCGGTTACGTTCTCTTTCCCTGTGTCCGTGCTTCTGCTGGGATCACGTTCTTTTGATTTCTGTAGCTTTATAGTTAGTTTTGAAATTGGACAGTGTGAGTCATTCAACTTTGTTCTTCGTTTTCAGTACCACTCTGGCTGTTCTGGACCCTTTGCCTTTCTGTATACGTTTTAAGATCAGATTGGCGATTTCTACAAAGAGAACAACAACCCTAACAAAAACCCGATTTCTGTGTGTAAATAAAGATTGTGTTGACTCTAGGGGCGCCTGGGTGGCTCGGTGGGTTGAGCCTCTGCCTTCGGCTCGGGTCATGATCTCAGGGTCCTGGAATCAAGCCCCACGTCGGGCTCTGCTCAGCGGGGAGCCTGCTTCCCCCTCTCTCTCCGCCTGCCTCTCTGCCTGCTTGTGCTCTCTGTCTGTCAAATAAATAAATAAAATCTGGAAACAAAACAGAATCTTGTATATTGGTCTTGAATCGTGCGACCCTGTGGGACTTATCAGTCTTTTGTTTTGTTTTGTTTTGTTTTCTCAGTACGGGTTTTTTAAGGTGCTCAACATATGGAATCATGTTTCTGCAAATAAAGGCAGTTTACTTCTTCCTTCCCAATCTCTATGCCTCTTATTTCTGTTTCTTGCCTCACTGCACTCCCTGGAACTTCCTAGTACAATGTTGACCAGAAGTGGTATTCCTGTTCTTAGGGGTAAAGTATTGAGTCGTTTACCAGTAAGCAGGATGTTAGCTGTAGGGCTTTCTGTAGTGTTCTTTGTCAGTGTGAGAAGGTTTCCTTCTACTCTTTGAGTGTTCAGAGTTTTATGAATGAGTGTTGGATCTTGTCAGATGTGTTCACCTATTGAGGGGATCATGTGATTCATGTTCTTTAATTCTTTCTTTCTTTCTTTCTTTCTTTCTTTCTTTCTTAGAGAGCATGTGTGCACCTGTGGGGCTCCATCTCAC